TAGGAGGTTCCATGTAAACATAAAGAAAAACGTTTTCACTGTGAGAGTGCCAGAGCACTGGAAGAGGCTGCCCAGGGAGGTTGTGGAGTCTCCTTCTCTGGAGACATTCAAGACCCGCCTGGATGCCTTCCTGTGTGACCTACTGTGGGTGATCCTGCTCTGGCAGGGGGGTTGGACTAGATGATCTTTCGAGGTCCCTTCCAACCCCTAACATTCTGTGATTCTGTGAAATCCCTTTTTACAGTTCAGTTCCCATATATCAGTAATGAAAAGAATTTTTAAAAGTCTCTTTTGGACAAAACTTCAATTTTTACTTTTGAGCACTAAATAGTTAAAATTTTAAAAAGATAGTAAAAACCTATTTCTGTTGCTGTATTCCCTTTCACAATTATTTCATATACTATGAAAACAGCCAGAAAAATAAACTATTTATTTTTTCTGAGGGGATGGATTGCTGGGACGTCTACCTAAAAAGGACTTCTTTTGTTTTTACATTCAGGTGTCATTGAATCTAATGCCATTCTAAATCATCTTTGTGTATGAATGAATTCTTGTCTTTGCTTTATAGATGAAAGCCTGAAGAACACTTGCATTTAATATGATATAAGATTCAGTCAAAGCTTGTCTATGTTTCTATCCCATAAAATAGAAATAGAAATAAAATGCTTTCTATACAATGACCAGAGGCCTGTGTTCAATGGGGAAATAAATGAAAAATATAGTTCCTGAAGGATAACATTTCTGGGGAGGGAAAAAAAAATAAAAAAAAATCAATCCATTCTGCAAGGTTAAAGTTTAATTTTACAACTACTTCTTTAAATGTTCGCATTTCAGTTTAAATGCAATAGCAAACTTTTCAGTATAGAGAGCAATGAACAGAACACACTAGAGGGAAAAATCACTTAGTCATAAGTTTTGATTAGTGAAATTGAGTGTTTTTGAAAGAGAAGCTAATAGGCAGATTTTTAAAGTTTCAAAAATAGATTAGGAAAGAGCATAGTTTTATTCATTAATTCCTACATCACTAATGAACATAATACAAAATGTAGAATAATACGCAATATCACAATGCTTTATAACCTCAAATTAACCATTCTGAACTAATAGAATTTGAGCTTTTCATGCTTTTAACAGTGCCATCAGAATCATGTGCTTTATGCAGATAGTTGCATAATACAAAATTCATCCACTCAGCACTATTTTTTTATATGGTATATACACAACTACCTATGTCTATGGTAAATCTCAGGTGCCAGTATTAATGATGCACTGTTAGTCTTTCCATTAGTCACAGGGCTAAGAAATTCTCAGCTTGGAAAAAGAAATGTACTGAATTGTAATGACATGAACAACTAGATAGTTTGGATACTTACAACATTAGCATTCACATGATTAACTGTTAAAGCTAGAAAAGTTACTTTTGGCAGGTACTTTGCAGATGTCTCTTCTTTTGTACTTTGGTATTCTTTATGTTCAACCTAAAATTACATCACTGACCTTATCCATAAAGTGCAGTATCGCTTTTTGTTGATTCTCCTCATTTGCATTTAGTTTGTGTCTCCCAATGGAAGCAATCAGCTGTGCTTCTTGTTCCAGAAGTCCACAAAATGCTGCCTTTCTTTCAGCTCCAGTAAGAGTTCTGTTAATCCGTTCAGTCTCCTCCTGCCTCCATACTGCAGATAGAAATATTTTGGGTATTTTTTACAAGATGTTTTCCAGTGAAATTTCTATTGCTATATTAAGAATATATTTAAGAAATAACATAATTAATTTTCAATATTAATTAAAAGCCAGTTTCTACATTAGGGAATTGACTGTTATGCATATTTTCAATACATGCAAAATGGCCCAGAAATTAATGTAAGTTATACAGATGTTGCGTGAGAGTATGTGTGCGTACAACGATTCCAAACTGCCTATTCGTGCTCCAAACTCAAAGATGGGTTAGAAGAAAAATGAGCTCTATGCGAGAAAAAGAATTTAGCTCCTGTGAAAATGGGTGATGAAATGATTTATTCACAATTTTGCATCTAAAATAACTAAACTAACTGTTTGATTCTCAAACAGTTCCAAAAGGTATGAGCAATAGGAACTTTTCAAACACTTACTCATCAAAGTCACAAGAAAAGATACCATGGAGATCATCTCAACAGATTAAGGACAGCATCTTACTGCAGTGCCACTAGTACTCAGTGCTGAGAATACTACTGCTTCTCCCTGCATAAATAAGTAAAATCTAAAGAAGCCTGAAGTCCTACAAAACTGAGATAAAACTTGACCGACAGTCACGCTTAGCACTGCAGGTCTTGCACTGAATATTTCAGTGTTATCGCCTTTTGCCATCCAAGGCAGATGGATGTGCATTTATAATCAGACAGCCATTGCTTTACTCTCCTTTTCCTCTTCTACAGCAGAGCCCTTCAAGTGGAGGCAAGTGGCACGCAAACCACAGCATGGTCATGACAGCAGCATGTCAATCAGTGCATGCTGTGTAAGAATCTGGCCTTCTGGCTCTAATGGTCAAATCACCAAACCACAGGTACCTCCTGCACTTACAAGTTAGACTACTTAATGACAGAAACAAACAGATGCATACATATGTGTTTACTTTGTAGTAGCCATTTCTTGACTATAACTGCTGTTAAACAGGCCGCACACCTTTACAGAAATCTGCTAGTAAAATCAAGTTGTGTTTACTGAAAAGTGTTTTCTTTTGCACACATTGTAACGATTCCTGGCTTCTCTGAAGAGTCTGTTCCATTTCAAATACCTCTGGAGTTTTGTAGGGAATTTTATAAGATCCAAAACTTCAACATTCCTGAATAATATCTCAAAGTGTTGATATTGTTCCAGAACAGTTATGCAAAAGCAAAACCCAGCGCAAAAGAAAACAATACAATATGTGATGCACACTTTCTGAAAAAACCTATAACATCCTGTACCAGCTAAAATTAGAGGTAGGAGGAGGGAAAGGAGGAAGGTTTATTTTCTGCCTGTGGCTTCCTTATCTACAACACCTTATGTTTTCCTTTTTAAAATATTTCAATCCATTTCCTTAAGGTTCTCCAAGCTTTGGTATTAATATGAAAGCTGTCTGACAAGTTCTGAGTACCCAAAGATATATTTTTAAATAAAACCATTTCAGCAAACAAAAGCACTGTATAGAATTAATTTACATTAAGCTTTATATGCCTGAAGGGGGCAGCAACTTCAAAGGCAGAGTTAACAAATACATTACTTACAGAAATGTAGAAGCTGTCAGTTATCATCAATACTCACCTCCTGATTCACCATATACATGCAACCAAGTTAAAAACATTCCTCTTAGATTATCTCTTCTGCAGGCAGAGATTTTACTCATTACAATTTTTATTTCCATTTTTATAAAACAAAGTAGTTCACGCTTTTCAAATAAATAATTAATGTCTCTATATGCAGACACACTGAATATACAGGTACATCTCATTTGCACCACACAGTCAACAGGCAAGTTTTTGTCCCAACAGGAATTGCTTGTACTGGCTGACCCTGTAATAGTATCCTCCTGTTGCAATCAGCAGCAATAACCTTCACAGATCTCTGAAGGACAATAGTCTCATTCTATTACTGTCACAATGATTTAGCTTGTGTAGAGTGTTGACACTATAAGAATGTAAAAGTAGTTTCAGATGCAGGTAGAAAAAAAGCTTCCTAGAACCACTAAGCTCTATCAGAATAAAGAGCATGACTGCAAGTCTCCATCTAGAGAAGCAACTAGTCAACACTGGTAAACAAAAGAAAACAAAAAGATTTCTATTAGACCATTATTTTTAACAAAATGTTAAAAAGGCATTTCAAATACTCGAGTTTGCTCTGTTCCAGTTTTGAAGTGGCACATGCTTTTTCAGCTTGCCTCAATATTAAATTCCTGGACATGTGTAGCTGAAAATTTTACTATTTGTGAATCCAATGACATTAAATTAAGCAAAAGAGACACTTATATAACCATAAGTTTTAAATTTAAAAATACTGGGAATATCAGCACTCACAACTTTAACTCAGCTTTGTTGTGTTGCTTCTATTGCAAACAAGACTCTGGATCGTACATTTGACACACTAGCTAGGAAGCAGTGCTTTAAAGAAAACGTTGCAAGAAACCAAGACACCAAATAGTAACACTTGCCACAAGTGGAGAGGAAAAAATTATTATTTGAGTACCTTGGCTTTTGATTACCTAGTCAAACCCTTTAAGAGGGTATGATTGACTTTTGTGAAATGAAAAGCTATCTATGAAAAAAAGGGGGGGACAGGGGAAACAACCCCTAACAAACCACAAGTCTCATGAAGATACTATTCCCAAAATTCTAAAGTTTAAGACCAGTAATAATTTTTACATTCGTCACAAACAGTAATATTTATAAGTCATTGATACATTCAGACAAAGCGATTTGTTCTATGCCACACAAAGTATGATAGTACTAAAAGATTAGTGTATAACTTGGGAATTCTTGATTCATGATCCTAAGCGCTATGAATAACACACATCACTAAACTTATGCTCAGTTTACCATGGAAGAAATTGCTGAGACGGTTTAAGGTAGGTCAGGTGGTTGCAATGAAGTAGGCCAGTTCTGCTATACGGACAATCATGTACAAACTGACAAAGAATTATACTATAAGCAAGTACTGTAGCCTACATAGCATATGAGTTGTTACAAGGCACAATTCAAGAACCTTACTTAAAAGGAGACATTTTAAAAACTCTTGCAGGTTCATTATATGCTGGTAGGAGTCCAATGCTTTCTATTGTTTTTATTTTTCCAAAAGGACATACTCTAGGTTTTTTGTTACATTTACCACATTACTCCCCTGTAAGGTGTTTATGTCAATTACCTGCAGTATTCACCTTATTTTTCCAGGAAACTTTAGAGGTGCTTGCCTGTATTAGGCACCATCCACTCCAATAAGAAAAATAAATTTTTCAGGATGCCCCATAGGACACCTAACGGATTTTTTAAAATTTAGCCAAACTAGTTTTGCAAAACATGGAATAATTTAGAAAGGAGAAAAAGCAACAGCAGAAGAAGACTAGGAATAATCTCAGTCATATATTGTAAAATGATGTGTAAAAGTTTAATCCATTATAAAAAAATGTCTGTATTAAATGATGAATGGTGGATCTTAAAGCTAGTTTCTTCAAGGCACTATTTTCAGTGTCTTAAATGTAGAGTAAAAAGATTAAAATAACTTTGATCCAAAAAAACAGTTCCTGTTCCTCTAGGTGACCTTAACATTAGAGCTGAATGAAAAAAAGAATAACAAAACCACCAAATTGCACTATTCTACAAGCTGATTATTTCCTAAAAAAGGTATACTGGTTTTGGCTGGGATAGTTAGTTTTCTTCATATTAGCTTGTATAGTATTATGCTTTGGATGTTGGTAACACAAGGATGTTTTAGTTACCTCTGAACAGTGCTTACGCAGAGTCAAGCCCTTTTTTCTGCTTCTATTAATGTATGACAGTCAAATAATTCTTTAAAAATTAAAGAAACTCCACTGTAAGTAAAAAAACAAACAAACAAACCCCCCAAACCCCGAGGAAGTATCTATAGAAACAGTAAAAACCTTAAGTTTGTTTTAAATAAACTGTACTATTTTGGTGATTTAAAGAGTATCCCTTGAAGAAAAAACTTACATTCTAAAGCATGGTACAGGAGCTCAAAGTCTTCTTTTGTCTTAGGGTTCAGTCTTCGCTCATGCTCCCTTCTCAGTTTTTCTTCTTTCTCTTTTTTTTTCCGTAACTCTTCCTGTGCCTCCCATGCCAGCCTTAACCTCTTTTCTTCCCTCAGATTTTGTACTACATTTATAGCATGCCAACGACGGAAATATGTCTGTAATACTATTACCTATATATGATACAATACCAAAGAATCATGAATTTAAAACAGCATAATATTTTGTTCTTAAATGTTATTTTTTTCCTAGCTACTTAACTATATTTTCTAATATTTGTCTTGTACTCAAACTGATTTAAATGTTACAAAACCAGTCAGGTACTATTAGTTTAAGCACTCATATTGTTTTTATTGTTTTCTCTTCACCTTTGTAGGCAGAGGTCCTCCTGTTATTATCAATTTATGTAGTGTCTAGATGGGGAATTTAGACACATATTTGCAAAATTTATTTTAAATTTCTAGATACAAAAATCAACACTTACAAAATCAACTGCATTTTATTTGTAAACAAATAATGAAAGTGAGATTAGCAATGCTGTTAAAACAGAACTTAAAAAAGAAAATGAAAAAATCCACCTTCTAAAGCTGTGGCTATTAAAGACTAGGGAAATGTCTATAATACGCTAAGGGAGGACAATGCACAAGCCTGAGCTCCTGCCAGCTGAGCTAGCACTTGCAGCACAGGCAGTTTAAATAAGCATTGTTCAGCGTTGAAGGCTATCAAGCACAAAACCACGCTAATAAAGTTATACTGTCTCTAGAGATATCTTAATCTATTGTGTTTTAACTCAGCAGGACACTATGCAGCTGCTCACTCACTCTCCGCCCCTGCCAGGGGATGGGGAGAGAATTGGAGGGGTAAAGGTAAGGAGACTCAAAGATTGAGAATTTAATAATTAAAATAAATGAAATAATAATGATAATAGTAGCTAAAAAAAAAAAAAAAGTAATTATAGAAGACAGCAATGAGTGATACACAGTACAATTGCTCATCACCCACCGAACACGGTCCAGTTCCTTGCTCCCACCTAGTGATCTCAGAGAAGGAGAGAGATCCCAGAACTGCAATTCTGGAAGAGCAAGAACCCAGCTTTCTGGACAACCAATTTATATACTGCACATGACGTTATACAATACGGAATATCCCACTGGCCAGTTTGAGTCTGTTGCTCTTGCTGTGTTCCTATCCAGCTTGCACAAGTCCTTCTAGCTAGTTCCACACTAGCAAAGCAAGGGAAGTTGGAAAGTCCTCAATTTCTTAGCAACAACTAAAAATATCAGTATATTATTAACATTCTTTTCATACCAAATCCCATATTAAATACAAAACACAGCATTATTCTAGCTACTAAGAAGAAAAATAGCTCTGCCCCAGCCAAAATCAGGACACCTAACATTTCTCTTGAATATGTCTTCAGCTAGTATTTCAATGTGGAACTGCACTGTGCAAATCCATCAACATGAACCAACGCTAAGCTGATGTCTCTCTGTTGTGAATTATAGATCACCTATAGACACATTACAGATTTCAGTAAGGAGCAGTAATGATCACAGTAAAACACAGCGGTAGTCCTGAGGAAATGGTTACCTATTTGGGTTCCACTTCTACAAGATGCTTATTGCCATCAGCTGATGCTGATCAAATAAGAAGTTCTTACAGAAAACTTCTACACAGAAGATTTCAAAGCATCTTGCCAACCATGCCAATACAATTATCCTACTTAGACACTTGGGGAATCAACTGTTTCTCCATTTAATTAGATTCAGACTGTCTATTTTAAGCAATCAAATTAATAACTAGAGAATTTACAAAGCAGTGCCCCGCCTAACATGATGTTGGGCGTACTTAAATTAGATGAACAGTCACTGAATACATGGTTTTCAAAAAGCAATTTAGAATGCCTAAATGGCATCCTCTGCACAATGAATATACAGAATCTGTAATTGGAATTGCCTGCATGAGGCATACTCAGCGCAACAGAAAGCCCCACAGACCCACTGCATGTGTTTGAACAGCCCAGCTCTACCTTAATGCTGAAGCAAGTAGCTTGAACACAATCCAAAATGGATCATTTTGGCAAAGGTAACAAACAAACAAACAACCCAGAAAACACAAAACTCAAAAGCTGAATGCAGGTCTCCTAAAACCTAACCAAATACTCCATCCATTTGGGCCATACATCAAACATGTAGCTTAGGTGCTTCCAAAGAGATCATGAGAATGCCACAGGGACAAGCCTGTTTTAATCCCTAACACTCTATATGGAAGCTTAACTGTCACTTTAAGATACAAACCAGTAAATTTGGAATTCTTAATATTTAAGAAAGCACAAGGTCTCCAATGTCACTAAAAATACAGAGCAAACACACACTTCCCTCATATCTGAAAGATTAAAAAATGTGAAGATTAAGCAGACATTTTGTAGTTCACTTTTAAATTCGCTCTTTGAACACTCTGAGCATTCATTAAATATTCAGATAACCTTTGTAATACTATGCTTTACAGATAGCTTCAAACAGATAAGAACTTACTGCTTCAAGTCTACGTTTATGGTATTCTTCCGCTGTAACATACTTTCCAGGACTTATTAGTTTGTCAGTCGTGTTTGACACATACAGGCCAATTTTAGTCATCTGTGTTGATGTTGTATTTTTTGTTTGTTGTGGCTTATTTTTTTCAAAAACTGTCTGGGGGAAAAAATGCATGTCAGATTTTAATAAAATATACAGAACATTTTTTCCTCATTGCAGTAAGTGGCAAAATTAGCTATTTGTAACAAAAATCACAAGGCTGATTATATATATCCACTAAAAACGTTCTAAAAAGACACTACAAAGCCATTACCTGTGTTTCTCTACAAAATAACTGAATTCCTTTGTCAGGTCGTTTTTTGGGTACCGTTTGTGATCCCGCATTATGAAATTCCACTCCTGTTATACTGTTTTTAAATCCACCCAGAAATGGTTTATGATAGGTAGATCTTTCAATTTTCACAACTACATCTTGGATTGAATCAGAATCTGTTAAAACGGAAATTCCAAGACAGAAATATTGTTTTAGCAACAGACTGAGAGTAGAGCACAATTATACATATATATATCTATAGATACATGTGTAAAAATAGCATTTACCTGTTTGTACTCTGACAGTTATGACGTCAGGCATGTGGTAATCCTGTTGAACTACTTTCCTGGGAAAATGCTCTTCATCAAGACACACCTTCTCAGACAAGATACTTTTATCAAAGTTAGCCTTAGTCCTCCTAAGAGTTTCATTGTACTCAATCATGCTTCCTAAAAATAAACCCCAAATTAATTTCTGATAAGCTTCACAAAACAAAGAAATAACTCTTTCAAGTTTACTCTGAGATGATGTTATTGAAACACAGCAACAAAGACCAATCCTAGGTTTTTGAGCTCGAAAGACAGTCTACTTTAAAGCTGAAACAGTATTAGCACTTTTTAAAGAGATAGTTAACGTAATACTGTCACCACATCAAGTCATTCATATTACAATTTTCAAAAAGTTAAAGGAAATGTATTTATTTGCAAATCCATTTGAAATCAGTTACTCATTTACACAGTAAACTTTTACTGAAAAATCTTACCTAAACCTGCTCAAATTTAGACCTGATCTAAGCATATGACGGCTGAATCACTCTTGTCTTTCATACAATACTTGATGTTGCGATGTTTATTCAAAGACTGTATTCTGAACCAGATCTACTTAACTTGAAGCTCCAGAAATTACTTCTTTTTGATTTAGAGATAAGACTCTATTTGGCTTTTGTACAGTTGCCCTTCCTAGGATGCGATCACCAGCTACTCAGCACGAGAGGATCTGCATGCAGCCCAGCCAAGAGGAAGGCAGTCAGCAGGTTCATACTCCAAAGGGTTGCCCACTGTAACGGGACGTAATACCTTCTGCTCTGAAGAGCTAAAGAAAACCGGGCACTGAGAACTGGGAAGAGGAAGCAACACAAGACATCCAGAATGCAGAGGAACAAGTGCAGGAAATGATGGAGCACCTCAGGGGCCGCAGGAGAAATGCATGGATAATGGAAGGATTGGAGGTAAGTTACAGGGGAATCTGAGAGAGGTAGAATAATAAGGTGATTGCTATGATCTAATCTAAACTGTTGGTAGCCCCTGTACTCATGCAAATCATGCACCGCTGCTTTGGAAATGCATGTACAAAACACATATAGATACTCATGTTTCTGAAAATGAAGATCATTCTATAAAATGCCATATTAGTCTATAAATTGCTACTGCAACTTGACATAAAGAATATATACCTCATCTTTTTAAGCATTTTTTATATGAGAATTTTAAAAGTCACTTTGAGACCGAAAACCAGCAGAGTGAGGCTGTGAGGGTACAAGAGGCCAAGCTGAAGGAAAAAAAAAACCCTCTCTTTAAAGCCCTAATGTACATTTTAATAACTTATTTACCTGTTACTGTCCCACTTGCCATATTCTCTGATAGTGCTGAGTTTTGAGATGGTTGTTCTTCCCTTTCTGAATTTGTTACTTCAGGCAAAGCAGAGTAATTCTCATTGGTAACAGATGTGCTCTCAGATGATGCACTGAATGGGGCATCTGGATCAAATACATCTTGCTTGTTGCTTCTGATCACTTCTTGATTGCCTAGTCCTTCTGTTGGTCGTTCCCACTGTGCTAAACTTGACTGTTCCTGTTCCTTCCAAACTGACTGCTCCAGAGAAGACTGCTGCTCGCAGCCCTCCCCTGACTGTACAGGGCCTGCAGCATCTGAAAGCAGAGCCTGCTCTGCTGGCTCCCCATTCTTGGCCTCTCCGGTTGCTCTTCTTTGTGAGGATGCAGACGGTTGTTCTGCACCTGACCTTTCCGTGGTAACAACTTCAAAGCAACTATCTGATGTCTCTTCCATTTCCTAAAGCATCAGTGGCATGTCTTTAACCTTTCTGCAAGAATAATCAAGGTATCTATTTAAAACTGCACACTATTACATTTTCCTAACAAACACGTGGGTGAGTTAATAGCCTGGGAAGCTTTTTTGGTGTCAATTCCCAAACAGTTTCTGTGGAATAGCACCAGGTCTTTGCTTCTGCCAAACAAAACATTTAACATCTCCTCACGGGCCTTTAACGGTAATAATACCACACAGCGTCGCCAGCAGGCACTCAGCGTAACTCTTATGTAAAGAACACATACAGGTATGTTCTGTGTATGGAGAAGCACTTAACACAGACACAAGGACTTTCCGGAGGGGCACTGCCCAGGGACAGCGCACCCCGAAGGATTTCCCCGCTGTCACTGGCAGGACATGGGGCAGAGGGACCCGAATCCCACACTGGGAACAAAACCAACCCCAAAGCAG